TTGCCGGTTTATAAAAGGAAATTTATACTTCGCTTGATGTTTGATCCCGACAGCTCGAAAGTGCACAGATATCCATTAACCAGTTGCATCACTGCGCCCTTCAATTTCGTTCAGATGTTTCTTGCTTATTGTCGATTAAGAAATATATCGAACAGGAATTGATAACAATTTGCCGTCTGACAAAGCAGAGAACCAAAAACTATAATTCTTCAGCCGCATTGTGACGATGTTATAACCGGCTGATCCATGGTTAGCACCGTTATCCTTAGTGTACTGAACCCATATATGTATGTATCTGAAGATATAAGAATCTGATTGTACTCTGAAGACGGACCGAGCTTGGTCCGAAGCCAGATGTCCCTAATTAAAGATTGTTTTATGCATTGCGATGACAGGTAACACGGGAAGGTCGTAACGTTTTACAGCATGTAATAAGTGAATAAGTTAAGAATCAACTTAGTTATTGATGTAATGTAATGTATTAATTTCTAAGATCCGTTACTATCCATGGTTGTTCTATCTGCTTTTGAATGTACCATGCACGTTTTGTGTCTTTCTATCCAATTCTACTTACGTCCGTTCGACCGCTCTTCCTGTATAAGCAAGCACTTTTACTTCATACTGGTTAATGCCACAGTATTGTTTCTCGCGCACAACTTTCTTTAGGATTTGCCTCTTATATTGCGTCTTTATCGTTAATTTAGTTTTCTCATGTAGTATAGTCTATGATGCTTTTGTGTGTCACAGACAGGAGAACAACCCGTAAAATATTCTTTTAATAACATGGTCGTCTGATGCTTCGTCTTGCTTCGGACGAAGCTCGGTCCGTCTTCAGAGTTACAGTGAGTATGGCATGTAAAGTTTTGTGGGTCAGGTTGACTCGTATGATTAATGATGCCACTTTTATTACTGGTCGTAAGCGGCCGCTTGATGTTTGTGGTCCATCTGTGGCTCACGTCTTTTCCAAGTCACGGTTGATGCAATTGGTTGCGCGGATCAGTGAAGCTTCCTTGACTTTTTAGGAAACATATTGTTATTCGAGTCAAGCCGACCCACATGAAAATATTACGCGCCATACTCAGTGTAACTCTGAAGACGGATCGAGGTTGGTTAGAAACGTCAGATGGCCTTGTTAATTAAAGAATATTTTATGCTTTATCCTCTCGTTTGTGACATATCAAAACATAACTTCATCTCCCGCATAAAGAAATCGCGTACCGTATTTAGTAATATTGTCAAGTTCTAGTACGCTGAGGTATTTGTAGGATTGCCTTTCTTCGAAGTTCTTTATTTTACCGATCGATAGTCCAGCGCTTTTTCAGATCTTTCCTTTCTTAATCTCGAGAATGGCACGTTT